ATATATATATATATAGCGAATGGCATCACGGACAAATATCACAAGCCAAATAGTATCTGAAATAATATTATATATAACAAATAAGTTGGATAAATAAGATAAAGTTATGCCTAAATAAAAATAAGTTGGAAACATTGACAATATTAATTCAAAAGTTAAATTGTTCAATATATAATATAATTAAAAAAAAAAAAACTTAAAACATCAAGAAAAACATTTATTCATTTCTTCCTACTCTTCCCTATTGTGATCATCATTCTCGTTGTCTTTTAACTTCTTATCCTAGTTAGTCATCAAAATCGATGCTTTCTAACTTATTTTTAAATTCTTCTAAGATCGTATTATCTTCAACTTCAGTAATATGCTATTTTCCTTTGATTATGCTCTTATTTTACCTCTTTTTTTTGTCTTAAGTTTAACATCCGCAACTTTAAGTTGTTTCTATCTTTCCTTAGTTCTCTACCTAGTATATGTTATTGGTTGTCCAAATCTTGAAGCTTCTAAAATAGTTTCCAAATTAAAGTCATTGTCATTTTCATCCTCAAACACTCTCCTTTCCAACATCATCATCGTCCATTTGTCCCCCAAGCCACTCATTGCACTCAACAATCTCTAAAATTATATCTTTTAAATAGTGCTTGATATATTTGACATACACCAAGTTGTGTAGTCTTCTGTACTCTGGTATAATAGATTTATAACAAATAATTTAGTAAAAGAATTATGAATCACTAAGAGTAGAAAGTATTAACTAATAATTATCAATAAAATTATTATTAATAAATTTACTTATTCAAAGATGTTCCAATTATGTTAACGTGTGGACACACTACATGTTAAACCCAAAATCTTTATAGCCATTTACCGTAAATTTGGAGTTAACAATCCAAACGATTGCCACTATTGCATTACAAGTGACAAATCCATAGAAATGTTGTGTAATTAAAAATTGCAATAATCAATGTAACATTTTAAAAGTTAAAAGGATCGGGAGAAATTTTCTTTCATGCAGAAACACCCCTCTGACAATACCTTTTAATAACATTTACACTGAATTTTTTATGATCTTCGTCAATAGAAATACCATGATTCAAGGCAACATCTATTCTACTTCCATGTGCGCTTTTTGCCATTTTTTAGCACGCACATTTATAGGTTGAGAAGAAGCACCACTATTGGTAGAGTCGTCGCTGCTAATGCCACCAACTGGGGTTGAGTTTGACATCTTCAATCACAAAAATAGGTAAACTGTCAAACAAATAACCACTAAATCGAAAAAGCAACTCGTAGTGGCTGAGAGAAACAAAGGAAGAATAAAAAAAAAATAATAAATGAAATATATATATATATATATATATTTTTTTTAAAATGAAATGGAAAATATATGAAATATAGGGAAATGCATTTAGCGAGTAATATAAATGTAATTTTGTCTAACAAAAAAAAAATGAACGTGGTCCACGTTGACTTGATTGATTTTATATGTTTACATTAAAATATATATATATATATATATATATATATTGGCAGAGTCATTGGGCATGGGCATTGAGGTAGAAGAAAAAGAAAAAGAATGTCAGAGAGAGAGAGTGGGGTGGGTTTGGGAGATTACCTCCAAAGACCTTCAATCATAACAGTGGATAGCGTCAACAAAGTGGAGAATGTTTGTGGGC